CCATTTATCAGACTTCCGCTGCATACATGCTCATCCTATATTGGTTGATCTTTGGTTCTGCCCATACTTGTTGAAGTATTCACGAGTATGCAACATAGACCCTACAGACTACTCCCTACGGACTGACTTCTGCACTCACGAAGGGCCAAGTAGAGACTTCCAGAAGACCCTCAGCTAAGACTAACAGTAATGTACTAGACTGCTAACACGAAGACCTAGGGATCAAACCCACGACCGACTAACCTGCTGACTTCTGACTAACCTACGAGATTAAGGACAGGTCTCGGATTCAAACCTCACCTGGGGTCTGCAGGTCTATGTACAGGGATAAGTGGTAGGTCTAGGGATCGGATCTGAGTGTCTGCAACTGTCGGGTCCAACTGGGTGAAACTGTTTCATTTCAGTTGCGGTACTTGCAAGCAATCAGAAAACATCGCAGGAAATCCAATGCTCATCAGCAGGTGGATGGTGAATTAACGACTTCATTTCATCTGTTGATGTCATTTAGTCCCCGTATGATTCGATGAAAATGGCTCATACAATGTCCCTGTCCCTGTTCCTCTCTCTCTCTCTCTCCCTCTCTCTCCCTCTCTAGATTGCACAAGCTCTAGTTGAAAGCTGTGGTGGAGGTGCATATTACAAATGACATTATGTGTGCTTTGTTTCTTTAATGAATTCCTGCCTCCATCCCTCTCCTTTCTATTCTGTTCTCATCCAACCTTTCTGTTTTTCACGAACAATTTGGACTATTTCTCAATTTATGTGTGTCATCCTTGCCCAGGGGCCATGCTAATCTTCTCTGTATCATTCCAATTTAGGACACGAGGCATAAGAGTTTTGTTTATCTTTGTGTTGTTTTTCTTTGACCGTCGTGCCTGCCCTGCAGATGTGGACAGTACACCATTTCATGACCACTACATTTATCGCCATCCAAATGGGTAAGGGCAGTAATTTTTTCTTTCCCCCCAAATTATACAAAGTGAGGAGTTAAGCCGCTGGCGTGCACCCCCTTTTACCTTGATATTTCATTCATTTTACTGTATTCCTCTCCCCGTTCATTCATTGTTATGCAGAGGGATGTGTACTGTCGGGCTGATAACAGCCCTCTCAATGAAGCCTTCACTTTGTTGCCCCGTAAGATAAGACAATGGATCTGTGGAAAAAAAATGGAAGGGGGGGAAGGGAGCGGAAGGGAGGGAACGTTCTGTTCGGTTCCTTCTTTGGCTTTGGCTTCCAGGAAATGCTCCGGGACGCTCGCCGAGCATGACGGCTCACATCAGAACATGACTTCCGACAACTCTCCTGGCCAAACAGCAACTGCCAAGCAGATTGGATTCTGATTACTTCATTCGTACATTACAAGACCTGCTTAACAACTGCAATCAGACTCACTTTCTTTTCCACTTCGCATGCATGTAAACAGGTAGCACACCAAACTGGCGACAAGCGCCCACTCAAAGCTCAGAGATATGGTAATCGAAAACACAGTTCAGATACAAGCTCGCTTCAGATGGTGGCCCATCAGGGCCTGTACAACTCTCTGTTCGTCACTAGCTCAACTCAGGATCACCTTGGATATCCCACGCGCGACACACTGTCTCACACACACGCACACCTGTCTCTTATACACATCTAGAGTTGACACCGGGGACGTCACAATTCAACCCGGGGCTGCTGCTGAAAAACAGGTTCAGCGTCCTCAGAGCTCAAATGGGACTAGGTCTGTCTCTTATACACATCTAGATGTGTATAAGAGACAGGGACTAGGTTCAGCCTCCTACCTCTTGCTGGGAAAGCCAACCCAGCTTGCTGTGTCTACAAGGCAGTCCACAGAAACGACCCCTCTTGATAGCTATGCTGCTATCCCAGAATTGCAAACAAACCAAGGGTACCTTGAGTGACTATTGCTGAGAGTACCCAGCCGACTGATTGTGAGCTGTTTGGATCCACTCGTCAGCACTTGCACTAAAGACAAGACATATGGCAGCGTATGATCCCATGTTTTTTTTTTTTTTTTTTTTTTTTTTTTAAAGGTAAGCTATATTCTTCTCTCATCTATCTCATTTTTCTTGATAGTATGCATCTATCTCATCCTCTCACTATTCTATATATAGTATGGGAGAACACCAACCAACCCGGATCCCTTGTTCTAGCAGAAGATTCATTCAAGTTTGGCACTTTTTTTTTCTTTTTTTCTTTTGATTTGCGTTTGCTACGAGCAGTGGCCCTAAGGGCCTGGATCCACTCGTCAGCACTTGCACGAAAGACAAATCACGGTGGAGAGAAAGCCCGAGTCTTTGCCGATCGTCTTCTACCACGGGCCGCCGACATAGACGTCGCTTGCTCTCCCGCTTCCGTCTGGAAGTACAGGGACTTGCTGATCAAAGCCCGCGCAAACATGCAAAAGGCTCAAATCCGCATGCAGCAGCAAGCCAACTGACGTTGACTCCCATGTCATTTCTGCGAGGGAGACCTTGTTTGGGTCCTCGCTGAGGAATTCGCGCTCGAGCAGGACGTCTCGTGCAAACTCCTCCCGAAATGGTTTGGACCATGGATGATAACTTCTGCAGCAGGCGACGACCCTGCAGGTCCTTCCTTTGTGGTTGCCATTCCACCGCACCTCCGGGTGCACCCGGTCTTTCATGCGTCGAAGCTGGCCATCTACATGCCAACATCCGCAGACGAGTTCTCGGGCAGACGATCACAGGATCCGCCCTCTATGGACGGCCATCAGGAAGTTGACCGTGTCATTAGGCACCGCAAGTTTGGCAACAAGCCAATGCAGTACCAAGTCACTTTCAAGCAATGCGACCCCAATGACACTGGTTGGATCTCCCGTGCAGACTTACAAGCATCTGCACCTCTCATCTTCTCCGACTACGAGAATCGAAGACTTGCCAAGGACAAAGCTCGTCCCACCCGACCCAACCCGGTATCGGACAGACAACTTCGCCCTCGCAGGTAGCTCGGTCCTTTAAGGGGGGGACTGTGTTACATCTTCGACGCCACATGGGTCCTACCGGACCCGACTTAGGGCCAAGGGGACACAGTAGGGCCTAAAGGCCCGAACTTGGGGTACAGCAGGCCATAAAGGCCACATTTTGGACCAGACCTGACGTACAGGCCCAAACGACATTACCGTTTGGGCCTGGCAGCGCTCTTGAGGCTGCGGCCCGCCAGTGTGATCTGAACCATCGATCTTGACGGTTCAGGTCACGGCCAGGCCTCGCAGCATTGAGGCCGGCCTTTGCCCTACCGGTACTTAGAGACCGGCCGGCCTCACTTGGAGGGATCGACCAACTGGACTGCTGAGTGAGCGCCAGTCCGTTTCGGTTCAGAGGAGCGTTAGCTCTGCGCTATTCTTAGCGCAGCTCGGAGCTAGCGCAGCAGCGAGCAAGGAGCCAGGCAGCATCCCATCGGCAGCTTGGCGACCATCCCCGACTTCGACCTGCAGTCGGTTGCAGCGAGCCAGGTACTCGGAGGCGAGGATCTTTCTCCTCCCTCCACAGTCACCGGCTCCCCTCCTCCTCACCTNGACTTCGACCTGCAGTCGGTTGCAGCGAGCCAGGTACTCGGAGGCGAGGATCTTTCTCCTCCCTCCACAGTCACCGGCTCCCCTCCTCCTCACCTCTTCCTCCTCCTCTGCCATCTCTTCTTCTTCTTCTTCTTCTTCTTCTTCTTCTTCTTCTTCTTCTTCTTCAGACTTCTTCTTCTTCTTCTTCTTCAGACTTCTTCTCCTTCTTCTTCAGACTGTTTCTTCTTCTTCAGATTGGAGATTTGATACGAGTTGGACAGAGATCAGTGTTGGACTTCGGTGGTAAGAGACTGTGATACTTACCGATTTCGAGACTTGGAGATTGTTGGGGTTGATACCCGGCGGCATCACAGATTGGACACCGGTTACATTAGGACTCTGTACCTCTGACATTGGTGACTTATTGTCCACGACATTTTGATCGTGTTCGATGACATTTTGGACTACCGTATCGGTTACCTACTGGATTCTATCTCGGTGACATCTGGCGCTGCCTACATCTCCCACCTGCTTCGTCTCTCCTCCCACCTTTCATCTGTGTATGGTTGTACAGGGCCTGAGCATCGTCTATGATTGGCTCAGACCCCACCATCTCATGATTGTTTGTGTGTTGAGTGATATCTGCGTGAGTTCAGTTTATGTGAGTCAGTCCATTTATCAGACTTCCGCTGCATACATGCTCATCCTATATTGGTTGATCTTTGGTTCTGCCCATACTTGTTGAAGTATTCACGAGTATGCAACA